AGGGGCCCGGTGTCCCACCGAGGGGACCCAGGGGTGGCGGAACAGGGGGATCCCCGTTCAGGGAGGCCCCGTTCAGGGCAACAAGCTGGGACGCCGGGCATCCCCCTCCCTCGTCCTCTAGGCGGCGGGAGCAGCGGGAGCTGGGACATCCCCTTTGCCCCGCCGTGCCCCAGCGGGTTCCAGTGCCTCGCCGCCCCAGGAAAGTTCCCGGGCCCCGCCGCCCCTCGGTCCCCTGGAAAGTTTCCGTGGCTGCTGGACCCCAGCTGCAAGGCGCCTGGCGTCGCGTTTGGGCGGTCAAGGCTGCGGGTTCTCGCCGCATCTCGGCGGGGGCGCGCGGTGCGGGGTGCCCTGGCCCTGTCGGCCACGGCCCCGAGGCCGCGCACAAAGGGACCCGCCCCCGTGGTCCAGGGTCTCGCGCACCGCGGCGCGGGCGAGGGAGCAGGTGGGGCGGAGCCCGGCTCCTCCCCCTGCCGCGATACCCGGCCGGACTTCGATTCCCCCCCCTCAGCCGCCCACCTAGACCCCGTCCCCGCTGGACCGCAACCTGGATCCCGTCCCGGATCTCCGGCCTTGTCCCAGTCCCGGCCCCAACCTCTGGACCCCGCCCCCCGGCCCGAGCCTACCTGGAGCGCGGCGTGGGCGGCCCCGCAGCGTGGCCCCCGCCCCCAGATTGGCGTCCCCGGGTCTCTCGGCGCACCGGGCGCGGCGTCCTTAGGGCGCCGCGCGGCTAGCGGTCCGCGGGGTGCTCAAGTCGGGCCGGTGCGGGGGCGGACCCCTCCCGGGCCCAGCGTGCAGCCCCGGGACCAGCCCCCCCCCCCCCTACCGCGGCCCGTGCGCAAAGCGGGTCTGGCCGGCTACGCGACCCTCCGCCCCGCCCCATCCGAACGCGAATTTTCCCATTGGTCGGGAGACCCAGCGCGGCCCGGCAACCCCTGCCGATTGGACGGGCGCTGGCAGACGCCGGCTTGCCATTGGGCTCACGGGGTGTCCGTCCCGGCCGACGACCGGCCCCTTCGTGGAGTGGCCGAGGCCCCGGCACCTGCCGGCACCGCTGCGGCGGCCGGGCCCTCGGGGCCGCCCCCTCTCGGCCGCGTTCGAGGACGTCCCTGGAGCCTCCGGCCCCGAGCGGGGATTGGCAGGCCCCGCGCCCCTTCCCCGGACTCCAGGCTCGCTGCCTCCATCATTGCCCCTAGCTCGCTGGGATCCTTCTCCCGCGCCAGCTGTTTGCCGGGTGCTGCGCGCCGCGCCCTCCTGTCAATATTGATCTAACTGTATTCTTCACACACTCCGCGAGGAAGAGTTTGCTGCTTTCCCATTTTACAGATGGGAAATTGAAGCTCAGAACTGTTCTTACTTGCTTTAGATCACCGGAACTCAAACCTCCCGGGACTGGGGGTTCTTCCACCCCGCGGTTCTCACAGAGAGGCAGGGGTCCGGCCTTAGCGAGGCTAGATAGAGAGCCGTGTTCCTGAGGGCGGGAAGGGACTTTCGGTGAAATAGAGGTTTTCCTCCGCCATCGGGCCTGAATCTAGGGACATCTTGGCTCAGCCCACTCTGCAGGACTGCCACAGGGCTGCCCTCCCTCATCTCCTCCATCACATCACCACAGCTCAGGGCTTGGGAAGGGGTAGGGGGAGGAGTTTGTGAGTTTATCACCGCCCCTTCTTCCTGGTGTCCCATTTCCTCCACCCTACCCGGGATCTTGGAGGATCCCTGTGGGGTGCAACTACTTGAGCAGAGTTTCACACAGGTTGCATTTTTCTGTCAGGTGGAGAGCAGCCCCCTGCTCCCTTCAGGGACGCGAGGCACACATATATGACCACAAATGGGACCATAATCCTTGGTCAGCTCCACTTAAATTTGTGGTGGTGGGGGCACCAGTGGGGGTGCTGTCCACTGGAGCTTATTTTGGGGGGTTCAGGAGATGATGGCCCCTTGGCCAGTGATTCTGGCTCATGCCTAGTTCTAAGCCTTTCCTGCCCTGGTTGCACCTGGAGATGACCAGATTCTCAGCCCACCATATTCCCTATATCCACCCAGGGAGTCACAGGCCCATGACATTGCTAATGGGGAAACCAGACATTCATGTCTTATCCACCCACATCAGGGGTCCAGAGTGTTCACACTGTAGTTACTTGCTCAGAACAAAGAAAGCGAAGCAATGCAAGGCCGGAACTCACCACTGGTACCACCATTGGGTCCCCCCTGTGGTACCTGGTGCACACAGCAGATCTACCCTAGCCTTTTAGAGCCAAGCAGTCACCCCCAGTCAACTGGAGTTGGCACTTGAGATGAGAGCTATTTGACACTCTGTCATAGTGATGTTGCTTGTGGTTCTGGGCAGATGGAAGGCAGTGTCCTTCTTTGGGACGCAGGGGCCTCCATAAACAAGGTATCTCTTGTGCTGTGGAACCGCACCATTGGTGACATTCTGAGCCAGCTGCTGTGTGGGCTGGGGGATTCTCTTCCCTCCATTATGAGTGGATCTCATTAGTCCAACTGTCCCTACAGATTTCTCCAGGGGCATTGGCCCATGGTCCTCCCGGAACCCTATTCTCATAGTGAGCTTGTGGTCCAACATCTTCCCTTCTCCACACACTTGCTGATGGTGGCAGGAGGGGCTGGACAGACCTCTGGTGAGAGAGCAAAGGGGAGAATTGTGCTCCAAGATTGTCCTAGGTGAGGACGGCCTCCCTGTCCCCCACTCCTGGCAGGATTCTGTCCCCCAAGCTGGATCGCCAGCCACACACAGAGGAGTAGGGTGGACAGTGTCAGTTCCAAGATGACTCAAGGCCACTCTCTGGCAGTGGCCTCACCATGACCCAGGCTGCAGGTAGGGGTCAATAACAGTCAAAAAGCAGGGTGGAGAGCCCCTACCATGTGACCATTGGCACAGGGACCAGTAACCTAGTCTCCTCCCTCTCTCGAACCCTCTACACCCTGCTGCCAGACAGCTCCACGTGTGAGCAAAGCTATAGGGACAAAAAGGTTTCAGCTGGAGGTCAGGAAGAACTTCTTAACAGTGGTAAATGTTCAGAGACTGAAAAGGTGACCAAATACGGCAGTGAACTCCCCAACTGAGGATGTGTGAACTCTTTCCAACCCTGAGACCCCAGAGTTCAGCTTACCACCCCAACCCATCTTATCTGATCTTATCTGCTTCCTAGCACTAAATGTTGTCAACTGGAGTCAGCGGAGACAAAAACAATATATCAGAGTACCTGACATGTATCCATCCAGTTGGGGAGAGTGTAGCTAGAAGTGGGGCTGGCCCAGGGGCATATACTTCTGTGGCAGACCAGGACTTGAACCTCTGTCCAACCCATGCATGACTGCATTCCTCTTTGTTAGCAACAGGAAAGCACCATTCTGTGTCCCATTCCCCTGAGGCATGTGGCCCAGTGGTTTGGGGCAGACCACTCTGCAACTGCTGCCTTGTACCCCACGGCATGGTCACATGCGCCTAAGCCCCAAGTCTTACTTACCACTATCACCTCTTAGGTGGGCTGAAAGGACTGGCTGTCCAGAGGGAAATCACTGGTACCAGCCCAGGAGGATTCTGCTGCCAGATGGTGGGAGGAAGGACCATGCATCAAGCTGAGTCTGCCACCTGCTGCCCATGAGTCCTTGGACATCTGGAGTCCTCAGTTTCCATGTCTGTAAAGGGCTCCTGTTGGGTTCCAGGAGGAGCACAGAAAACGTGGCAAGAGAGATGGGTGGAATAGGCCTTTGGGTGCGTCATGAAGGTTTGGGATCAACTCTTGCCTTTGCTGACCCATCAGGCCCTTTCCATCTCTAAACCCATTTTCCAGGGGGCATCAGTGCTCTGAGTTGGGATCAGGACAGTTTAGGTCTTCACAAAGGACTGTGGATCTAACCCAGCCACTGCCACTTGCCATCTTTTTAAAAAGTGATGTAACTGCTCTGAGCTTCAATGTTTGCATCTGTAAAATGGGGGGAATGACACCTGTGAACTGGGACCCTGGGTTTGGAGTGCTTAGCACATTATTATCCTTAATGTAACTGTCTTCCTTATCATAGTTTACTGAGCGCTAACTTTGGAGTAGGCGCTGGGCTCTGGGCCTCTGACTCTCCACTTTCCTTGCACTTAGGCCCTACACACAGCCTTAAGATCACTGAAGGCAGGGAACCCAGCAACTGCCTCTGTTCTTTTGAAAGGGCCCCAGTCAGTGCCCCTTCCCACCTTCTTGCTCACTTGCTCACATATTACAGCTGGGGGTGGACCCACTCTTCATCCTAGGGCTTGGACCTCCAGGACCGCCTCAAAGTGGGCTCAAAGGCCACAGTGCCTAGGTGGGTCTGGAGTGCCCAGTCCAGTGTCTGTCTGTCCATAGTATGGCAGGATTGCGGGGGGTGGGGTGCGGTGGGTAGGGGTGATGTGGGGTGGTGCAAAAGCCAGATCGTAGAGGCTTAACCGAACTAGGAGCCATAAGGAAAAAGGTGGGATGACCAGGTCTAGAGCCAGTAGTAGCTGTGGAACAGGACGAGCCTAAGGGGCGGGTCCGGAAGTGGGCATCCCCCTATCACTCCCGGAGAAGGCCGCCAGGTGGTTTGGTGACATATGGCCCCTGGAGTTCAGACCGCAGCCCTAATGGGTCCACGAAAGCATGCCCTTGGGGCGGCCGCAAGCGGCAGCGACCTCCCATGGGCGTCCTCTGGGGTGGGGAGCCGGGAAGTCTGGGAAAGCGGCAGGGGTCACGAGACCCCCAGACGCCCGCGCAGCCCCGAAGCTTGGCGCAGCTCTGGGGGCGGGGCGGCGGGAGGGCTGTAGCCCCCGAGCGACAGCACGCTCAGCCAACGGTTCTCGCGGTCGCGGCGTGCCGCCCCACCCCTATCGGAGCAGCCCAATGGCGAGCGCTCGGAGGGCGTGGGGGCGGGGCCTGGGCGGCGGCGGTGGCGCGCGGGCGCGGCACCCGGAAGTCGGCGGCGGCGGAGGCGGTGAGTGTGCGGCTGCCGGCCCGGGCCGGCGGACCTCTCTCAGCGAAGGGCCGGCCCGGGATCCCGGGCGTGGGGCTCTGGGGGCGCGAGTAGGGAGGGGAGGGGCAGGAATGCACCTCCCCGCCCTGCCTGTTTCCCTTTCCCAATGCGTGGAATGGAAGTCCTGCGGCTGGGTCCGGAGAGACCAAACTGACCCCGACGAAGAGCCCCATGCGTTACTGGAAGGCGTTTCCAGTAATCCCCGCCAGAATGGGAGGCAGGGTCCGTTGGCAGGCCGGTCGGTCTCACTGCGGGAAAGCAAAGACTGGCGGGGCTGGGAGCTGCGTGGTCGCTGCAGGATGGGTGGGCTAGGGCCTCAGTTCTGAAGCCCTGAGTCACGGTGCCACCTCCCTGTGGCCTTTTGCGGGGCAACTGGGTGACAGCTGATGTTTGAGTAGGCAGCAGGTGCTGGGTCATGCCTGCGCTTGGACATGCCTTTTCTGGGGTGGCTTAGTTAGACCATTCCCCCCACCCCTGGGGCATCAGGGGTAGGGGTTGGGCAGGACTGCACCCAGGGCAAGGGCTGGCCCTGGTGCTGGGCTTTAAGACCCCTTCCTCTGTCCCAGCATGTCAGGTGCTTCATGGGCTCCCCCTGGGCCACAGCTGTAGAGTGAGCCTTTTGCCCTTGGACCAGTCCCTGAGCCTTAGCCCTTTTCCTCCAGCAGGGATGTCACATGCTAGCCTGGCCTGGTGACCTGCTCCTCCCACCTGCTGCCTGCTATTTTGCTGCTGCTTTCTGGACTCATAGCTTTCTTCAGCGAGGCAGATGGGATGTGATGGCAGCTCTAAGGGGCGCCTACAGCTGGTAGCACTTTGGAAATGCTTTCTCGGACTTGCTTATTAATCCTCTGAGCAACCTTTTTGGGCAAATATTCATTGGTTGGCTGCTGTCCACGGTGAAGAAAACTCAGGCTGAGGGGCGAGGGGTGTTCCCAAGGTCACTCAGAGCCAGGGCCAGGTCCCAGTGCCTCCGCTCCACCTGGGCCACTGTCTCAGGATCCTGCCTGCTTTGGTGACCTGTCTGGTGAGGTGGAGGTAGGAAGACACAGCTCTGTGTTCTCCTCTCCAGGATCCTAGTGCTCCCATGTGGTAGCTAGGCTGCCCTGGTGCCCCCACCTTATCTGGTTTTTGACTATCAGCCCCAGTCCTATGCCTTCATGTTATTGGCATGTCCATAGACTGCAGGCCACTCAGACCGCCTGCTCTGATGTGTGGTGGTGACAACAGCCTTCCCTGAATGAAGGAAACAGACTGTCAGTTCTGCCCTGCCTACCCGGCCCCTGAATTGTTGTTATTGCCTCATGCTCTTTTTGTGACCTCATTTTGTGGGCTTTTTGATCACTTTTCACCATGGGTGTAACTGTGTGTGGTATCTTGGGGTCTCGTTCGCGTGCCTGGCTTCTGCATCAGAGAGGGAGGTGGTGTGGTGCCTTCCCACAGAGGAAGTGTGCCTGTTCCTTCTAGGGACTTATGTGGAGAAATGAGGGGCCTCCAGAGCATGTCTGGAGATCAAAGGCCTAGGGCAGGGAAGCCAGAAGAGCTTTTAGAAGTGGTGCCGCACTTGTCATTGACGCTCCAGGTGTGCAGGAACTGGGTCCATCCTTTGGCAACATGTCAGCGTGTGAGGGCATCACTGTGGAATCTGGCATTTGTTGGTCCAGACCGTAGGGTGGGGTGATGGGCTCCGTGAAAACAAGGTCGCCCCAGGTCACCAAGCTGTATTTTGGTTTTCATTACAGCTTTTTTTTTTTCTTTCTTAAGTTTCTTTTTTAGATTTGCAAAAATGACATGTGTGCACTTAAAAGTTAAAAAAGGCCATCCACCATCTCTCGGTGGCTCCTGTCACTTGAAGTACATCTTGGTGGGAATACTCTGTTGTCCTTTATTAAGCATGGAGACAGCAGAGGTCACCGTGAGGCCGGGCTGGCCCCTGGCTTGTGGGGAAGCCAGAAGGGGCTAAGGTAGAGGGGCTGCCCTGTGTCCAGAGCTTTCTCTAATGCTCCTTCTTCCTCTAATTTGTGTTGCTCCTTTGAACAGCAGGGACAGTGACACTTGGTGTGGAGCTGAGTTAGTGCTCCCCAAACATTGTGGAGATCTCAGAAGGGAGTAACCCTGTGGAAAATTGGTCGCGGTAAAACGCCACTTAGTCAAAATGACAAAACACAGACTGTAGAATCCTCGGTTGCCAAGCCGGGAGGAGGGTGGGGTGTTGCAGTGGGCCGGCTGCTCAGAATATTTACAGACGTCAGGGCTTTCTCAGCCAAGGCTCCCAAACAGCACAGCGACACTGTGTTCCCATGTGTGTTTACGTCCTCGGCTGGCAGCCGCCGGGAGGACATGATGCGTCACGCGAAAAGAGCAGTGCCCACTTTCCAGCTCCGCCCCTGGGGACTGCCACAGTGATAGCCTGGTCTGCGCTGGGGGAGGCCGGGCTGTCTGGCTCCTTAGCCCAGGCACGTGAAGCCCAAAGGCCCCGTCCTCTGCGTGGCCCCTCAAGACCGGATAGACAGGCTGGCTAGCCTTGAACATATATCCCGAGTGAAATGGAGCTACAGATTCTGCCTTCACGTGTGCAGCCAGCCAGTGGGAGATGAATGTGATATGAACCGGGAGCCTCCCTTTCTGGGAGTCTAGGCCCTTGGAGGCCACAAGAGCTCCCCACTCATTCGTGCGCATCCCCATCATTCTTGGCTGCGTTCTGATTTGGCGAGTCTCTCCTCCATCCAGAGGCCCGTGGGCCTTTCCAGCTGACAAAGGAAAGTGCTCCCACCGAGGGGGCAGGCCCCCTCTCCTCCCTTGGCACCCCGGTTGTCAGGTGTGGTTTTGCTCTCTGCTCAGGGGCTGGTGTCATTGTGCAGAATTCTACAGCAGCCCTGCTGCGCTGGATTCTGCTTTGAAGGGTTTGCACCAGAGCTGCGTTTGCTCTTGGCTGGGTCTCCCATGGACAGACTCTTTCTTGGCCTTGCTTTCCTTGCTATGCCAGCCTGCCCATGAGAGAACACATAAAACACACCTGCAGCGAGAGTGCATGTGTTTTAAACGTCCAGCCCCATGGCTTATACGGGGAGCCCACTAGCCACACCACTAGCATCCATACTAAGAAGGTGTGCGAGCACCCAGCTGTCCCCTTTTTTCCCCAGACCAGGTGGCCCTGCCCTGACTTGTGTCCTTAGGGATGAGGCTGGCTTATTTCTGGCTTTGGTACCCGTGCCAAGGCGGTGTGCTCTCTGTGCTGCCATGGGGCTGCCAGGGAGCCGGGGAGCCAGGGAGCCGGGGCTCACTCAAGACTTACCAGCTTGCCGTGCTTCCTGCCCAGTGCGGGGTGGGAGGGTGGGTATCATGAGCGGGGGTGGGGCATGGCCCAGCACCATTCATTAGGCTCTTCGAAGATTCTATGAATAGCCAAGAGGGAGACTTGGCCAGAGTGTGTGCTGAAACTAAGAGGCCTGCCTCACATGCTGGACCCTGTGGAGCCCAGTGACTGCATGTCCAGGGTATGGCTGAGGTGGGACAGACCTGACGCCTGGCACCTGAGAAGCAAGGGGGGGGGGTCCAATACCTTACACTGCTCACTGGATCAGGACACATACTCACCTGAGAACTAAGTCAAAATACAACCATATAAAGAAGGCAATGGAAAGGACTTTTTGCTTTGGGACAGGGAGGGCGGCTGCTCTGCGGTAGTGATGGGGAAAACTTGCGGTAAAGAAACAGACTCTTTCCAATGGGCAGTGGCACGGGCAAGGCTGCAGGACAGGGGCAGGACGGGGAGGAAATATTGGCTACCGGTGGAACAGATAGGCCGTGAGCCTGCCCATACCATGTGCACTGCCCTACAGATCAGTGCGGCAGAAGTCCAGGGTTTAATACCCAAATCGGTGATTCGTGGATGCGGGCAGGCAGGTGGCTGTAAGATGCGTGGCCCCTGGGAGTTGCCAGTATAACCGTGGTGAGTGTTTCCTGCCACCCCGAGGAGGGCAACAGCGGCAGGCTGTGGTGCTGGCAGGATGCACCCCTCCCCAGCCAGTGGTACCTGCACTGGATGTCTGGGGCCAGTTGGGCCAGGTCTGCTCACCTGAGAGCATCTTCCTCTACCCAGCCATTCCGCCTCCTCCGACTCTGCCCTAGGAAGGTCTGCAGCCCATTTGCAGGGCCTGGGCATGGGGCTCCTCTGTGGCACTCTGCAGGGGCTAGAAACGTGATGAGACTGAAACATCCAACAGAGTCAAGTGGCCGAGTGAAGGGGTATGTCCTCCGGGGAAGCCATGCAGCAGCTAGCAGGCTAGGTGGACAGCTGCCCCTTGGTGAGGACAGCTCTGCACAGCCAGTCAGCAGGGGGACAGGGCAGCGGGATCCTGTGTGTGTGATAACCCCATGGCACACACCCATACTTCCCTGAGAAATATCTGGAGGCGTACTGCCGACAAGATACAGGGCTTTTGCAGAGTGAGTATACTTGGAAACTTTCCAGTTGAGAATATGAGCTCCTGGATAACCTGATGGTGGGAACCACAACCACAGACTCCACTGACCCACAGGAGCTGCTGTTTGTGGCCACAGGTGGTGTGGAGCCTTGGGCTGGGGATGGACGAGTGGGTTGCAAGTGTGGGAGGATGGGTGGTCTGGGAGGAAGGGAAGGGGGCCAGCTTTGTTGCAAATGCTGGAGGAGATGGTGCCGGTTGGTGTGGGGTGGGTGGCGGGCACAATTGGTATGTGATGACTGTGAGCCCCCAGGCTTGGTGGGCGAGCAGCTGGGTGGCATCTGGAGTGCACAAGAGGGACACTGGGGTCAGTGAGCACCCCCAGCAGTGCTGAGGTCTCCTCATCCCCTGGCCACACCCTTCCTCATCTGGGCTAGCGGCAACAGCGAGGTCTGGTCCGCGTGGCCCTTGGGCCCCACTTGCCTTCTCTCCTAGTGAGCCTCTGTGAGGTTGTGGACGTGCCTTCCTTGGCCAGGGAAGCAGATCCTCACTGTCGGTCCATCCAGGTGCCAAGCCTTGTCCCCACACTGCCCTCACCTGAGCCACAGCAGCTGTCACTGTGTCTCTTGGCGTGTGGCCCTCACCCACGTTTGGCCGGGCTGTCTGCCCACCAGCTCAAGTCGTTTCCTTATAGTGCTCTTGTTAGACACCGTGTGGAGTGAGGCTTGGGGCTTGAGTCAGCTGAAAAGCCTGGTTATTCTGCATGTCGGCATGTACCTGGCTGCCCTTGGCTGGTAGGACAGCTCTGTTGGTTCTT